GGGGGGGTCTCTCCTCAACCACCACCAGTGTGCAGCATCCGGCTGGATGATGCGACGGCAGCCACAGTACAACGGTGCCAGTGCGCTCACCACACACCAGCTACAGGTGGAGAGGAGAGAGTGATAGAGCCAATCAAGTGGATGGGGATTATTAGGAGGCCATGATTGACAAGGGCCAGTTGATGGAATTTGGCCAGGACACCGGGGTTACACCCGTACTCTTTACGAGAAGAGCATTTAGCAACCAGTTCTGTGGCAATTCAAGTATGTATTATTCTCTTACCATAGGGATCATTCGGCAAGATCTGATGCAGTCGCTCATGCCAAACATAGACATGTAATCAGCATAGTCTCCCCTCCTAAAGAAATACTGATTTCCCATGTAGTTGGGACGGTCGTACATCATGAAGCAGCCACTTTCCACTTTGCAAGAGTGGCAGCGACTCAAGTAAGGAGACATATCAGCACAGTCACCCATACATTCATAAGAGCGACCCTGGAAGTTCCTGTCCTCGTAGAAGACGGCCTGACGAGATTAAACATGAGGTTACAAAGAATTTTAGGTATGCATTCTTAGGTATGCATATTGCATTTTACTAGAGTAAGAGAAAGGGATGTCATTACTTACCCTGCACATGCTCATGCCTGCTGTAGTCATTTTTTAAAATTATTTGATACTCTTCCTTTTACACGGCACTGTCGTCCTGCCAGGTCTCACCCTTACTTTTATACCCGGCGAACTGAATAAAACTGTGCTTGCTATTGAGATTGAAGACAACCTCCTGACTCAGCAGATCAGTATGGAAGCATTCAGAGTGCATTCATTGTGGTCCATTTTGACATAACCTACAGGTCGTATACGCTTTCCACAATAATGTTTTCAGACATTTTGAAATACACTATTGCTACTGCATTACTATTGACTTTTAAATCTGTTCTGTGGTTAGACTTTTAATCCCTAAATAATGCTTTAAATATTAAACATAATAAACTACTAACACTAGAAAAAAATACCATTATTAAAATTCTTCTGTTTGGAGTTTGTTATAATACCAAAAAAATGACAGCACAGACGTTTGATATATTTGGGCTTTGTTTGAACCCATCATAAACACAGCTCTCAGTCAAAATCACTGATTTCCCTTTTCCCTATATTTGTAATTTTAAGTGAAATGCTGCTTAGGTGTATGTATATAACTTGTAGGTATATATTCAAAACATGTATGAATGTATATATATGTGGCATACTAACAAAATTTCTTTCCCAGACTCATGTGTCAGGGAAAGGAAATGAGAGCCCCTTTTATCCATACCTGAATTTGCCAGTAATCTTGTCAAGTTGATCTAGCAGCTCGGGCGAGATGAAAACAGTTATTTTGCACTTAATAAAAATGCCAAATGGATATATGGATTGGAAGAAGAGGAACTCCTCAAATAATTTTGGACTGACAATAAGTCACTTGGTCGTTCGTTTTTTAAACACAAAAGAAACACCAAGACACAAACCACTCTATTGGCTACTTAAGACTGATAAACCTGGAAACTAGAGACTCCATTATATTGACATATTACAAAAGCTATTCAGCTTTCAATGGTCTCTATACCATGCTGCTTTGTCAGGAGTTTTCACAATAGAAGGCACATATTCTTTATTTTTGGGCAGGTATAAATGTAAGGGTTAACATAAACAGAGTGTTATCATACCAGTACAGATGTGCTCCAAAAGGACAGTCACTACCATCATGGGCAGAGTAAGTACCACTGCTCATTAAAAATAAAAACAATAGTACATCTTTAAGATGCTGATTCACTCCTTTTAAATGTCTCGTTACTACTTCGCTACCACATGTCTCACTGCCAGTCCTGTCATGTGATGGACGGCCACGGGCTCTTCTATGAGCAGCCCCACTACAGAGGCAGAATGTGGTACTTCAGGCCTGGAGAGTACAGGAGCAATATGGGTGGCATGAGATTCATGAGCATGAGGCGTATCAATGATTCTTATTTTTAAAATGTAGATTGCACAATTTTTTTTAGAAAAAGGTGGTACTAAAATAAAGTACAGTTCAGTCAGTCCCTAAATTTAAGGTGCACTCAGTATTTATTTTTTTTCTTATTAAAAGGGAGAAGAAAGTTTAAAAAAAATTTTTTTTTTTTAACAAAACCAAAAGGCTTAATTGTTAATGGACCTGATGGGGGCTTCCATGTTGAGTTCACGTAATTAGCTATTATTGCAATTTGACAGAACGGTTAACAGTAATAACAATACAACATTAAATGTATATTGTAATGCATTGGTTCAGTATGCTTTACAAAACATAAAAAGAATATGAAAACAATCCAGACAGAATGAGGAAGAAGCTAAATTAAATGCCCAAAGCAGTCCTTATTGGAGCAATAAAACATACTGCAGCGATCTGCAGCTCCCACACCTCTGAGCCTATGACAAACGGCAGGCCTCGAAGTGATGAGTGTGGTAAAACAATAACTATGGCTATCACACCATAAAATTCCTCTGTTCAAGATGCCATTGCAACACAGGAAACGACCTGAGAGAGTTAGAGAAAGAGCTCACTGCAAATGCAAACAAGAAAATTTGTTGAGATTGTAGCAAATAATATTATCGATTTTGTGTGCAGTATGAGAACAATGTGGGGAACAAGAAGATAAACTTCCAGTGTGAAGTGGAAGCAGTTAATAAACTTCATGCATGAGTAGAAAGTCCAAGGGATGAAGAAGAGTATTTGCAGTATTTAGTTTTGTGAAATTGCATCAGAATAACCCCATAAGACTTCAGCACTGTAAGAGTTTATTCAAGATTAGACAACTGTTATTTTCTGTATTAATTCAGGTTTAGGGACTGCACCATATGGATGAGAGAAATAGGGTTTATTATTATTCTTATTTTTTATTTATTTGTAATTTTTTTAGTTGATGTTGATTTCTGAAAACCACAAAAGGTATAGGAATATTTGGTTGATGTCACTATAAAGAAGCAAACTAAACTAAAAAAAAATTGATTATTTGATGAACAAGGTCACTGTCTTGAATTTTTTTCTTCTTTTTTTCTTTTTTGTCAGTAATGTTGGTAGGTGTGACATTTTGTGCAAATATCTAACCGATTTGTGTCAGTCACACTTAATAATTGAGAATGGATGGACTAACAGATAAAATTATTGTCTCTGAGATTTCTATTTCCTGCCATGTTTGGCCTGTAGATGTCAGTATAAAGTCAAACAGAAGGCAAAGAGCCAGTCAAACATTACTGAATTGTACCTTTAATTAGTTTATGTGATACAATGAACAAATAATTATGTCTCTGTCATCAGTCCACCATGGAAATCCACGACGGATTGAATTCTGTTTTTTATTTTGGAGAAGAGACGATATTATGTTGGCCTTTTTCCCAATAGACCGAGTCACCTGGCATACTCTGACCTCTCCAGTAAGTCTCATGACACTCGTTCTCATATCCCTGAAACTGCTACAGTTTCCAGATCTGACGTAAATCATATCTTGCCTGTTAGGTATTTAGTGTTTAATAAAATTTTATTTTATTTCATGGTTGCGTTTATCTCATGAGGCATTTTTGTGAGCATACAAATATTAATGACACTGAAATTAGTTTCATGACACACTTTTTAAAAATTTGTATAGAGAAATTAATTCTTTAGAATGATAAAATATTAGTACCATGAGTCCATGATATGCCTCATGCTCATGAATCTCATGCCACCCATATTGCTGAAGCTACTGTACTCTCCAGGCTTGAAGTACCACATCCTGCCTCTGTAGTGGGGCTGCTCATAGAAGAGCCAATGGCCGTCCATCACATGGCAGGACTGGCAGTGAGACATGTGGTAAAGGTCCGTGATGCTGTCACAGTCATCTGTCAGCTCGTATATCTGGCCCATGAAGTTCTCCCTCTCGTAGATCCTCATTCTGTAGGATCCCCTGTACTGTAATGGAAGAAAAGTCTGTTATATTAAAGTTAAACCGGCCATGTCAACATCAAATGTGCACATCTAAAACAGTGTAGCGATGTCTCTTGTAAATCAGAATTTTGAAAGGATCATCTGTTTGTTTGTTTTTTAGGAAAAAGGATATTTAAATGATAAAAAAAAAAAAAAAAAAAGCTATGTATTGATTTTTTTTCCAGCAAAACCCTTAAAATCATAGATTTGTTATGGGCACATAAAAATGCTCACAACTCACCATAGGGATCATACGGCAGGACCTGATGCAGTTGCTCATTCCAAACATACCTCCGGTTTCATAGAATAGGTTTAAGCCTAGTCCCAGACTAAAATGCATGTCTGGGCTGTTTTAACTGAAAGAAACTTGCACTGACTGATCTTAAAATATGTCAGATTCATTGTTTTGTCTAAAAATGCACACCAGTAATGTTTTTATCTAAGGCATATTTCTAAAAACTACTTAATTGAACTATGGCATAACCCTGTCTGTGAAACCGGGCCATAGACATATAATCAGCATAGTCTCCTCTCCTAAAGAAATACTGATTTCCCATGTAGTTGGGACGATCATACATCATCCAACATCCACTCTCCACTCTGCAAGAGTGACAGCGGCTCATGTAGGAGGAGAAGTCCCCACAGTCGCCCATACACTCATAAGATGAAACCCTGGAAGTTCCTGTCCTCATAGAAGATGACCTGCAAATGATTAAAAACATCTGTTAATTTATTGATCATGTATCCTGATATATTTGATGGAATATTTAATAGAATATTTGGAATTCGACAGCATTATAATTTATGCCTTTAAGTTGTTATGTAACAATTTATGTAAATCAAAATTTTATGAATGCACTCTGCCCATGATATCAGTCTGTCAACAGTCAACAAGTTGATATTGTTTCAATGTGCAGTTCTTCGCTCTTGACTACCTTTATATACCTGTCCCAGTTAAAAGACTGTGTGTTCCCTATTGTATATGAAAGCCTGACCCAGCAATACAGTGCAGTGGCCTTTTACATTGTCAACTGTGTTCTCCATTCTACACGTGACTAGATCATGCTGTCCACCTCTTCCATTGGTTCCTGTTTTTTTTTTCAACGAGAATGTTTTCAGTGTGTTTTCCCAATTAGTTAAAAATGTTTTTGGCACAGAAAAGGCTTTGAATGAAGACATGTGGTGGACACATCCGAATTACCTAGAGCCAGGTAGTTGCTCTTGTATTTTGTGCTGTCAAATTTTGATAATCCAATCACTACCAAATACCAAAACTCCTCTTTGCGGTGCTTCTGAAGTTTCATATTCCATTTTTTTTGCAAGCATTTTCAGAATTTTCACTGGCCCCACCACAAAAAAGTAAAAATAGTACAGTTAGCAATAGTACAAAGAAATGCAACATAACAAATATACAAATAAAATAAACAGTGCTGTTCATAAGGTTTCAGGTACTGTAGGTCTAACTGTAGTATTCAGGTACGGAAATTGAATAAAGTAATCAAATGTAAAATGTAACACTGCATTGATTTTTACTGTATAAATGAAATATAGATTAATATTTATTTACGTTACAAGCTTAAGTTATTTAAGCTATTCAGTCAGGAGCAGAGAGTAACTTTTCTCGTTGTCTTCTGTTAAGGACACAGCAGCAGATACACACGTGGTCAGAATTGTTGGTACCCTTGGTAAATATGATCAAAGAAGGCTATGAAAATAAATCTGCATTGTTAATCCTTTTGATCTTTTATTTTAAAAAAATCACAAAAATCTAACCTTTCATTGGAGAATAAGAATTTAAAATGGGAGGAAATATCATTATGAAATAAACGTTTTTCTCTAATACACATTGGACACAATTAACGGTACCCTTTTATTCAATACTTTTTCAAACCTCCATTTGCCAAAATAGTATAGGAGTTTTCTCCTATAATGCCTGATGAGGTTAGAGAACACCTGACAAGAGATCAGACCATTTCTTCATCCAGAATCTCTCCAGATCCTTCAGATTCCTAGCTCCATGACGGTGCTTCTCCTCTTCAGTTCACCCCACTCATTTTCTATAAGGTGCAGGCATGGATCCAATACTGCGTAATGATACATACATTCTCTTTTTCAACTGTTTACATTCACTTAAGACATAACTGACTGTGTTTACGAGGATACTGTCCAAGTGCAACAAAACACTAAATAGAACTTAATTCAGTATTTGCGCACTGTCTGGAGGTGGCTTTCTGTGTGTGTCACGAATATATTAGTTTCTGTTTCATGGACTTTTAGTTTGTTTTCATTAGTTTCTTGGTTTCCTTTGTTCTTTTTCTGCTCCTCTTTGGTTGTCATGGTTACTAATCTCATTAGTTTGTTCTGTTCAGCTGTGTATCGTTAATTTACCTCATTTGTCAGTGTAATTAAGTTCAACCTTTTTCTGTGTTCATTGTCCAGTCACATGTGTGTTTAGGTGTGTTTTCGTCTGCCCAGTTTTGGATTAACTTGTGGATTATTATTAAATGTTATGTTTGAACTTCGTCTCCTGTCTCTTCAGTCTGTCTGTATACACCTTGCTGACAGAGTTTTTGACGTCTTGCCGTCCAGCCATCACCTTGCTGCACAGAGCATTTGCCTGAGCCCACCACAGACGGAGAGTCTGAGCCTGCCGAGATTCATGAGCCAACGCAAATGGAAACAACTGAGCCGATCATCGCCCTGGAGCCTGAGGGTGTACTCACACTAGGCACGGTTGCCTTGAACCGACCCCGAGCGGCGAGCGCGATTGTCCCCCCTCCCCACTCCCCCGCTGGCCTGCACTCACATTGCACTTTACATTCCGGGCCAGAGCACACTTTATGCTGCCCTCAAGTGCTATCGGAATTATCGGAAATACGAGTTTCCTAATCAGAAATTCGACATGAATGGCCTCTCAATTTGTATTTACTACTCTGAGATTATTTTGATACTTCGAGTTTCCGAGTTAAGCGAGCCATAAGCATGTCGGAGGGGACAACAATTGCTGCTGTCAATACTATTCTTTATTCTTCTTTTTTTTAACAACTACATCACCTTGTCTTGTCGTTAAAGTAGTACCTATTTATATATAGGCATTTGAAGCATATTGTATGTATTATAAACAGTGAAATAAGCATGTATTTGACCAAAATTCCAAAATTGTATCAAGCTGACTATCTAGCGCGGTGAATGTTTATGGTTATCAACCAATGGAATATTACATTTTATTATTACCGACAACAAAGCACTTAAATGCAACAAGCTCATAATCAAGACTTCATAAGTGGGCAATAGGAAGTTTCCGATAGCACATGAAGGTCGCCGAGAAGCGCTCTCGCACAGCACAGTGGAGTGCATTGTTTTGTTAACTTTGTGGTTTATTATTTTGAGTCTTTGGGGCGCGGTGACACACGATCCTCTCACAATATATTACTTAACAGATCTATTGCTTTTGCCGCTCAGAAATGTTCACGCAATCGTACTGCACATATCAGAAAGTTCTGCGCTCGGGTGCGGTTAGCGCTCACACTACATGCGTGCCACGCCCGTGCCCAACTGATCAGTGCTTTGGCCCACCTCTTCCAACCAAGCCAGGGACGGCTAAACGAACCGCACCCGAGCGTGGTATGGAGCGATCACACTAGTCAAACGAACTGGGCTTTGGGGGTCAAACGCGCTTTGGCACGGTTAAGATTGCCTAGTGTGAGTACACCCTGAGCCACACGATGTGCCTGGAGCCTGAGCCTTGAGGGCATATTCTGAGTTTTGTGTTAATGTCTCTGTGAGGAGCATGCGCATTCAGTGCTACACGCTCATTGTGATGAGCCAAAGCGTCAAGGCTCCGCTCATGCTTGTTCCTATTCCCAAAGAATGCAAGACAAAATGTTTGTGTCTCACAGCTCAGTCCCGCCATTGCCGTGGTACTGTTTATTGGTGATTACGTTAATTTGCGGGATCCGCATGCCTGCTCTAAACAGGTTGCCTGATGCCGCGGATAGCGTTTGTGACGATGAGTGTGTGTAGCCCCGATCGTGCGAGATTGCAGGTGGAGCTACAGTATATCCAGCTTGGCTGTGCCTCTCTAATATGCATATTATTGTGTGTGGAGATTCTCGCTGGGCATGGATATATTTATATGCTCTGTGGAGAGATGCTTGTGAGCTATCTCTCCCAGGGTGTTTTAGTGACCTAGATTGGTTTGGGGGTGTCCCCTTAGACAGCTGTTGTGCCACACCTCACTCAGTTTTTTGCTGCCAATGCTTAAAAGCATCGATGGCCATAATGGTCATGATGTTGCATCTGTAGTTAGATTGGCCTTCCGGTCTCCTTTGTCAAGGCAGTGGTCTATGAGCTCAGAAAGGCAGTCGGTGGCTTTTAGGAGGTTCGTTCTTAGCCAGTTTAGGTCTTCTTTACCTCTGAGGGGTCTGGTGCGTCAAGATCTGAGTATCATAGACAGGGCTAGTGAGCCAGCACTCTCATACTCCTCCCGCTTTCGGGGAGAAGATGATACCTCGCTCCCCCTCCAGAGCTTTTACTCAGCCTGAGTAGTAAAGTTAGTCTTCCAAGCAGGCGGTCCCCCTGAATCCCACATGCCAAGTATGGGCTTTCCCCTCTTTGTTAGGGTTTTTCAAGTGGATGGCCCATTGCTTTTGGAACATAGTTGTTTGAGGACAGCTGCATTCCTAGCTTGATTTTGGGGAATGTCCCTTCCTGTGTTAAGCCGGAGGGGTTTAGGAGTGGGCTGTCTCCCCATGTCTCAGGGTATTTTTAAGTGGGCTGTCCATCTGAATCCCACATATTAAGTTTGGGCTGAGTAGACTGTTCTCCCACCTCAGGGCTTTTAACTGCTCAGAGTGTAGCTGTCTGTGGATAATTATGCTCCAGCTCAAACTTACTTTGCTCTGAAATATAGTGGTCTGAGGGCAGCTGTGTTCCAGCCTGGCTTCTATGACTAGGTTGGGTTCCTCTTGGCACAAGCTCTCCAGTAGGTCCTGGGTCCTTGCCTTGGAAGATAGCTATCCAAGGATAGCCATGTTTCAGGTCAGTACCACCCCCTTGTTAGGGTTTAAGTAGCGGTCTTTGATCCTCTTGCCTATATTGTAGTATCGCCCCTGTTAGGGTTTTAACTAGATAGCCCACTCTCTGCGGTCTCGGCAATCTTCAGTTAGGACCTTTGGAGGATAGCTATCTGAGGATAGCTGTTTTCTAGCACGATGACTACTCCCCTTCCTAGGGTTTTTAAGTAGTGGTCCCCTGGAGCCCCTATCTAGACTGTGCTACCCCCTTGTTAGGGTTTCTAAGTAGGTAGCCTCTTATCTGTGGTTCTTGTATTATCAGGCTAAGGTATTGCTCACATAACATAGCTATCTGATGGTA